TCCTGTGGGGAACAGCGGGATTGGGGTTACAGTTCCTGCAGGGAACAGTGGGATTGGGATTTTGGGACAGCTCCTGCAGGGAACAGTGGGATTGGGGTTACAGCTCCTGCGGGGAACAGTGGGATTAGGATTTTGGGACAGCTCCTGCAGGGAACAGCAGGATTGGGGTTACGGCTCCTGCAGGGAACAGCGGGATTGGGGTTACAGCTCCTGTGGGGAAAAACAGGATTGGGGTTTTGGGAGAGCTCCTGCAGGGAACAGTGGGATTGGGATTTTGGGACAGCTCCTGGAGGGAACAGCGGGATTGGGGTTACAGCTCCTGCAGGGAACAGTGGGATTGGGGTTACAGCTCCTGTAGGGAATGATGGGGTTGGGATTTTGGGAGAGCTCCTGCAGGGAACAGCGGCATTGGGGTCACAGCTCCTGCGGGGAACAGCAGGGTTGGGGTTTTGGGAGAGCTCCTGCGGGGAACAGTGGGATCGGGATTTCACCGCTGACCCACCATGGGTTTCAGTTTTCCATATGGAAAACCAACTTTGGGATTTCACCACTGAACCACCACTGGTTTTAATTTTCTATATGGAAAACCAGGGTTGGAATTTTCCCACTGTCCCACCATTGGTTTCAGTTTCCAACCAGGAAAACCAGGGTTGGGATTTTCCCACTGTCCCACCACTGGTTTCAATTTCCAGCAAGGAAAACCACTGTCCCACCATTGGGTTCAGTTGCCATATGGAAAACCAGCTTTGGGATTTTCCCACTGTCCCATCATTGGTTTCAATTTCCAACAAGGAAAACCAGGGTTGGGATTTCACCGCTGAGTTCATCACTGGTTTTAATTTTCCATATGGAAAACCAGGGTTGGGATTTTCCCACTGTCCCACCATTGGTTTCAGTTTTCCATATGGAAAACCAGGTTTGGAATTTTCTCCCTGTCCCACCATTGGTTTCAATTTCCAACGAGGAAAACCAGGGCTGGGATTTGAACAGCCCATGGGATCAGCCCAGGTCATCGTGAGGAAAGAATTGGGACCCTCGGACAAGATTCCCACTGGAATTTCTCCACCTGCAGCCCCCAGGTCCCACCATCCCACCACCACTTCTGATTTCCAGGCACTTCCAGCCCTTGGGACACACCAGCTCCCTTTTCACCCACAGATTTGTAAGAGAAAAGGCCTTACAAATTAATTAAATATTAATTTGCATGTCTATATAAATATAATCAATATTGTTTTAACTTGTCATGATATATAAATATAATAAACATTTATATGCATACAATATCTATATTTATAGATAAATATATAAAATATGTGAATGTGCCATCTATAAATATAGGTATTTATATATTGTGTGTTTATACATAACTATAATCATTATTATATACAATGATATATAAATATAATGAATATTTATTATTTATTATATGTATGCTAAAGACCCTATAAATTAATATAATGAACAGAACTATTAAGACCAAAGGCCTTAATAAATTATGTTCATTATATAATTTACATAATACATATATTCATTATATATATTGTACATATAA